CAGCACACAGCATGCGGGGTGACACAGCACCATAGCTTCTCTTGCATTCACTCTGGCTTATAATGCTAACTTCTGCCTTCTGCAATACAGTGGGTAGAACCATATCTGTATAAACATAGGGAAATATGCCATTTATATGCCATATATTGTACAAATATTTACAAAAAAACATTTAAACAAGAAAAATTGACACTTTTTTTCTATTTACACTATCGTTTAAAAGTTTGGGTTTTTAAATGTTAGTGAGATTTTTTTTTTTCAAAGAAATTGGTAATTTTATTCAGCAAAGACAAATAAAAAATGACAGTAAAATAATTATAAAAATGTATAATTTTACACAAAAAATCTATTTCAAATAAACACTGTTCTCTTTAACTTGAATTGGCTGTAAGTAATGGCTGTTGAAAACACAGGCACATAAATGACATTATAAAATATATAGAAATAGAAAACCGTTACTTTAAATGGTAATAATAGTAATTTCACAATATTACCGTATTTTTGATCAAATAAATGCAGTCTTGTATGATATACTTCTTTCAAAAATATTTAAAAAATCTTACCAACCCCAAACCTTTGAAAGTTATTGTTACATCATTTGTCAGTGTTTTTAGCTCTTTACCCTGTTCAGAACGGTAGCCCCAACCGGTGACCCAGCAGCGATGTCCCTCAGTGAAGGTTTGTGAAGGGGCCGGCAGGCAGATAGGCTGGATATATTGTTCCAGACTGCTGGGCCAGGCCTTCTTCAACTGCACAAGGGCGATGTCATAGTCAACATTTCTCACACTGTAGTATTCATGCACCACAATTCGAAGGATCTCAGCCACATGCTTGGCACTGCCCTGGTTTAGCATGCCCAGATGAGCTGTCCACATACATGGATCTGCCAACCTAAAGTGTCAAAGGTCACACATGCTCAAACTGCATTAAGACCAGCTCAATGAAAAAGGTATTAAACTTTGATACTCAGCGATTTATACTGTAGGTCTACCTGACATTCCTCACCTTTCTTAGCTGAAACGGTGCGCTGCTGAAATGAGCCACTCATCAGAAAGGACCGATGCTCCCACATGCTGGTCAATACAGCTGACCAGAAAAATGCATGCTGACCTGCCATGGCCACTCCCCCTCCACCGCATTGTATCCCGCCCACAATACCCTGCTGTGTGGCGGCGCTGTCAGATACACGTTTTGAAGGGGTGGGATTGCCACAGGCTACAAATCATATGGAAACATGCAGATTAAATACTTTGTGTTAGTGTACAAGCATCCGAAATTAATGACATGATATATAACGATGTAAAAATGTGTGCACACTACTAGTCAAAAGTATGAAATAATTATGATTTTTTAAAAGGTTTTTGAAAGAAGTCTCTTATGCGATTCATCAAAGAATTCTGAAATAAAGTAATATGATTTCCACAAAAATATTAAAGGGTTAGTTCACCCAAAAATGAAAATTAGCCTATGAAGTACTCATCCTCAAGACATCCTAGGTATATATTACTTTCTTATTTCAGACAAATCCAGTCGGAGTTATATAAAAAATTGTCTTTGATCTTCCAAGCTGCTTAATGGCAGTCAGTGGGTGTTGCAGTTCATCAGTCCAAAAGAAGTGAAATAAAGCGCATCCATCCATAGTAAAAAGTGCCTTACACGGCTGGGGGGGGGGGGGGGGGGGGGGGGGTTGTGCTGTAACGGTGTTGAATGTACTTCACATTCACGTAGAATGTGAAGTACAAATCGAGGATTTGTAAAGAAGAATGTCGGAGGATTTCGATATAAGCCAAGAGGAGACTGGTTTTCCTTTGCTCCTGTTAACAAACGTTGGTTTTCACGAGACTCACCGGAGCATGCGCAGCACTGACCTCATACGTCATCAGCCCAGAGCTGCTTCCGTGTACAATTGTGGGCGCAAGCTAGATTCAAGTGATTATTACGTTTTGAATATAGATATTTTTCTTTCGATTCACTACAGGAGGCCTTTGTTCACCCCCCGGAGCCGTGTGAGACACTTTTTATTACGAATGGATGCGCTTTATTTAACTTCTTTTGGTCTGATGCACTGCAACACCGCTGACTGCCATTAATCAACTTGGAAGATCAAAGACCATTTTTAATATAACTCTAACTGGATTCGTCTGAAAGAAGAAAGTCATATACACCTAGGATGCCTTGAGGGTGAGTAATTCATGGGCTAATTTTCATTTTTAGGTGAACTAACCCTTTAAGCAGTAAAAACAACTGCTTTCAACACTGATAAGAAATAATATTTTAAATGTAATAATATTTCACAATAGTACTTTTTACTGTATTTTAATCAAATCAATTCAGCCTTGATAATCATAAGAGACTTAAAAAAAATCTTAATTATTCCAAACTTTTGACTAGAAGTGTATGTTTGTATGTGCATAAACTGCTCAGTCATGACAGGTGCATCTGATGAGCCAAAGCCATTAAAATCAGAGAGAGTTCAGGAAGAGAATGAACCATGATCAAAGCTCAGCTTGTCTACTGTAACCTCACTCTGATTCAATTCCAACAAACACACACACACATACACACACACCAATTATCTAACACGGTTTCAAGTCAACCACACAAAAAGGTAAACAGATCATAATAATAGCAGCAATATCATCATGGGAACGTGAAGGCATTTAATAGGTGTGTATGTATTAAAAAAAGTAAGGCATGCAAGGCAAAACCAGCCAAGGCAAGGGATCACAGAGAAAAAACAGATTACCATAGAAGAGAAAACATTATTTTGCTTGCAATTCTGATGATTTTGCTTGCATTTTTTTGTTTTCTAAATGCATCTTCAATTTTACAGAATTAATTTTGATACGCAAAAAACAAAAAAAAACCTTAAAACAGACATAAATGGTATTTAGTCTATGGACTGATTATTTTTAATAATCAGCATATTAGAATGATTTCTGAAGGATCATGTGTGTTACGGGAATGATGAGACAAGAGGTGTGCGGATCCATATGCAAGGCTTTTATTACAAAGGCATGGTCAAGAAACAGGAAAGGGTCAAATAAAACAGGTATATCACAGGCAAGGCAAGGAATATTCCTAGGGCTAGCATGGGTCTACGATCAGCGAACAATATCCAGAGGGCTTGACAAGTGGGGTAATCCAATAACACGAGCAATAGTCCAGGTGAGGGGCAAACACAGTCCGAAACAGCAAGGCAAAGGGTTAATCCAAGATGCACAGGCAGAAGATCAGGAAACAGACAACAAGGCAATTCGCAGAGACTAGACTAGACTAGAACTAGAAACTAAGACAGGGAACTTGGAATGGCTCCGCAATGCAGCTATCGCTAGATGAGGGATATATGCTAAACAATACTGGCAGTGAGGAAGAGGAAGTCCATGGCTTATGTAGGGTGTTTGATTGGTTGCAGCTGTGTGTGTAATCAGTGCAATGGATGATGGGAAATGTAGTCCTGGGTGACATGCAACAGTTTGTGTAGTGTGAGAGTCAATGTAACTGGAAGGCAACATCTGGTGGCGAGCAGACGAAAACCACGGACCATATTCGTGACAATGTGAAACTGAATACTGGAGTAATGGCTGTTGAAAATTCAGCTTTGCATCACAGGAATAAATTACATTTTAAAATGTTAAAATAGAAAGAAAATAGATATTCACACTGCAATTCTGCCATTTTTTTATTTTAAAAAGATAGTAATGATATTAGATGATATTGATAGTTAGATAAACCAAACTTTATGCAATTATGTACTCTATCCAAATCGTTAAGCATCAAATTAAGTTTCTGACTATCTGACAAATGTTAAACAAAGGTCAAGCCTGTAACTTCATTGCCGCCTCGAAATTCATAATTCATAATTCAAAATTAAGGTCAAAATGTTTTACCCCTCACAGAAACGGCCATAGTGGCTGCAGTTAACGACAAAATAGCGTAGTTACAGTTACTGTTATTACAATAAAAATATAACTTAAAAAAATCAACGTACAATCAAAAAACAAGATATACACTTCTTTATTTGAAGGACATCCCACAATATTTTATATTTTGATTCGCAGTAACAACAGTAACTAAAGTGACTCGTGTTATTTTGTCGGAAACTTTGGTTTTCATTGTGATATTTAAGGGGTGTAGCTATAGATATGTATATATATCTATGGGTCTAGCGGCATGAATTACTCACTCACACTTGTGGCGTCCTCTCGTGCCGCATCATCCTCGCTCCCCTGCCCGCCTTCTTCTCGCGCTGTCTTCATAGCATACAGTCAATCATTTGGACCGGTAATCTCAAATGCTCGGATCCAATCCGGTATTGTTAAAACGGTTTCCCCCAAAATACCTGTCTGCACTCTCAACGTGAACGCGAACAGCGGAATGAAGGCAAAGACACGAGGCGCTTTGTTTCCACCTAACAGTGTAACAGTGTAACAGTATCCAGGCAGGTGTGCAGACAGTGAGCCTTGTGTTCACTTATCCTATAGATGCATTCAGACTCTTTATACCACAGAGACAACTGAAACTTTAAAAAAAAAAAACTGCAATTTGGTTCTAGTTTATTTACAGATTCATAAATGTTAGTGTGTGCTGTCTTTACATTTTACAAGGCTCCAGCCTCAGGTAAAGCAATATAATTATATAGACATTTAGTTAAAAAGCAGAACACAAGTCTTTGTCATAAAAGACACCCATTTAGGTGAGCTGACGGATGGAAGAAACCCAATGGGAAGCAGCTTTTTGACCATATCAGTAAAATGACATGACTATAAAATAACTAACACTTTCCACACTAGCACACTGACTTAAGGCTCAATAATGAGCCTTTATACTGAGGCACATATGTCATTTGTACACACATACTTATATGTATATAAATATACACATTAGTGTGTATGCATTAGAGTATGACATAACAGATGTGTAGTCCAGTAATATTTCATTATTTATGGATCTCATCAGCGCAATGTAAACACTAAATGTGTCTGAAGTGTCTCTTTTTGTCATTTCCTGAAGAGGGCACTGCGTGCAAACGAGTACAACAGGTGAGATGGCTTCTTCTTTGGCTCTGCTAAAGAGAAGACCTGCTGCTGGGGGATGCTGGTTGGCACTGTCACATGCCGCTGATGGAGAGGATGTAGCGGCTGATGGTGAGGAGGCACAGGATGATCAGAATAATTCATTTCTAGAGGTGCACAGACATAAAATGAGAGTATGAGTTCATCATGGTATTAAAATGAAATCTTAGCCAACAGTTTTTGGAAATCATTTAATTTCCCATGTATACATATTGCCTAGATAGAAAATAGCTGCCTGGGGCCATGGACAAGATTGTCACTGAATGAACGAAAACTAAAAGAAAATAAATATTTGTGACAACCAACTGAAATTAAAAAAAAAAAAAATGTCCACAAATTTAGTTTTTGATATACGGTACATTATAAAACCTAAAACCTTTATGACCTGCCTGTATTAAAGATGAAAATGCCTTTAGAAATCAATTATACTTAATGCTTTACGCTTTCTAATCTTAATTTAACATCAATAATTAACATTAAACATTTTTTAATTATACCAGTTAGCTCATTATCTTTGGAAACCCTAAATATTTAAACTAAAATAAAATACAAAGAAAACTAAACAACTAAAACGAAAAACTAACAATAACTAAACTAAATTGAGAAGACAAATTAAAATTAAAATACAAAAAAAAATAAAAAATAATACCAAAGAGACTTTGACCCGGTGTCGTTATTGTTAACAAAAAAAAATGTAATTAAAACGTAATGAAAAACAGTCCAAAACCAAAATAAAAATGTCCAAACATGAATTTGTAGTTTTGGAAATATGGTTTATCTCACCTGTATTAAACATGAAAATGTCTATAGATAAATATTTTTAAATAAATCTTTTAAATCTAAAATAAAAACTAAATAAATTGGAACTAGAAAATAAACTAAAAAAAATAAAAATACAATTAAAAAAAAGGAATATATCATTAAAGAGACTTTGACCCGGTGTCATTATTGTTAATGAGTCCAAACATTAATTTGTAGTTTTTGAAATATGGTTTCTCACCCCTGTATTAAACATGAAAATGTCTATAGATAAATATTTTTAAATAAATATTTTAAGTCTAAACTAAAAACTAAATAAATTGAAACTAGAAAATAAACTAAAACTACAACTACAGAATAAAAACTAAACTCAATTGGAAAAGACACTTTAGAACTGAAATAAAATGCAGAGAGGCTGTGGCTGCTACCTGCATAATTCAGAAAAAATGTTTAATGCTAAGAACAGTGTAAATATGTGTAAATATCACTGACCGCCCAGTGGAGGATGGCCACCTGCCAGTGAGCGATGGTGTCAATGCTCTCGAGTCGCCTTTTTCTCTCGTTTATCAGACTTGCCACATTCTTCATTGCTTTATGTGCAGCACACACCCCTGCGTAGTCACTGAGGAGAAAAACATGACTTTATTATGATCCTTTTGATAACAAAAAAATAAATAAATATGTACAACAAGTTTGGGGTGAGTACATATTTGTTTTGAAAGGATTTAATACTTTTAGGGTCCGTTCACACAGAACGCGTCTTTGCATCAAAAAACGCGAGGCACAGTGCTCAGTAATGTTTTTTTTAAAAAGCACAGCGCAGAATGCCTCCTACACTATGTTGCAGTCAAATAAAACAGTTGCCATGCCAACTTGCTACTGTAAACAAAAGCTGGCAACGCTTGCCCCGCCTCTGGGGTCTTCTGATTGGTCTAATGTTTTAGAACTGACATTGATAAGCGGCGGTATGTGTAAAAGTTGAAATTCTTTTAACTTTTCTTCTTTTAATGCTCAAGTGTGAGACACTGCAAAAGAAGCGAGACACGAGCTCAATGGTCATACATATCCATCTAGCACAGGGGTGGGCATACTGGGCCCTTCCATATCACTTTCCTTCAGAGTTTAGCTCCAGCTCTAATCAAACACACCTGAACCAGCTAATCATTAGCTGTGTCTCATTTAGAAGGCTGCGTCCTCCGGAGGTCGCATTCGAAGGCTGCATACGTCATCGAGGCTGTCTCATTTCAGAAAAGCAAGTAGGACACTCCGAATGCGACCTTCGAATGCGACCTTCTTTCACAGGATTTCGGAGGATGCATGAGGTGTATCCTTCGCTGCTACAGATAACCCACAATTCTTTGTGTCGCCGTGAACAACCGTTGTTAATTTGAAAAATGCCGGCGCCGGCAGATGTAACGTACACACAAGCGCAGATGTGGTGTTTACAACTTACCTTAATTCGCCTCGGTAAAAACGGATAAACTTTGTTTTTAATATCCTCCTTTTTTTCTCTAATAGATGCCTGCTGTAGGTACGCTGCAGCTCCTCAAATATTGAACACAATAAAACAAGTAAAAGCATTTTTTTTTCAAATTACTTTCCAAATTTAGAAATAATTTTAATTTAAGTAGTGTGAGAGTGCAACGATGCTCTAAATGTGTTGGCATAGCAACGTGATACTTCCGGTTTCCTTTTCCACCTGTCCTACGAAGGCCGTCTCGTTTAATTCTAGGTTGAGGACACTTCGTATATGCATCCTACAGAGGATGCGACCTCCAGAGGATTCGACCTCCGGAGGGTGCAGCCTTCTAAATGAGACACAGCTATTGTCTTCAAGACTACTAGAAAGCTACAGGCAGGTGAGTTTAATCAGGGTTGGATCAAATCTCGGCAGGAAAGTGGCCTGGAAGGGCCAAGTTTGCCCATCACTGGTCTAGCGCATGTTTACGTAGAAAAACAATGGAAAAGTAGCGCACTGGAGTGAAAAAATACGTCCTGTGTGAACGGCCCCTTATTTAGCAAGGACACAATAATCAAAAGTGACAAAGGAAACAAATGCTGTTCTTTTGAACTTTCTATTCAGTAAAGAATCATTAAAAATATTACAGTTTCAACAAAAAAATATTAAGCAGCACAGCTGTTTTAAACATTGATAATAAGAAATGTTTCTTGAGCACCAGATCATCATATTAGAATGATCTCTGAAGGATCATGTGACACTGTGAGACTGGAGTTATGATGCTGAAAATTCAGCTTTGCCATCACAGGAATAAATGACTAATATACAGTGGGGAAAAAAAGTATTTAGTCAGCCACCAATTGTGCAAGTTCTCCCACTTAAAAAGATGAGAGAGGCCTGTAATTTTCATCATAGGTATACCTCAACTATGTTAATCAAATAAATGCAGCTTTAGTGAGCATAAGAGAGAAAAAAATTCTATCAACCCCAAACTAGTGTAATGTATATAAGAGAATGAGCTACCTGTGATCTTTGGGTGTGTATTTCAAAAGCTCTCCCAGCTGAAGAGGGTATTTACAAATCTTCTGTACAGGTGTGAGTAGGAAGCCAGCAATGGAGATATCGATCATCTGCTGTAAGAGACGACAGGCTTCGAAGAAATGTTTATATCTGCTTTGTTTCATCAATCGCTGCAATTCAGTGCATGCCACTGGATGTGTGTTACAGTATTCGGAATATATGGAGAAACCGTCCTCCTGAGAGAGAGAAAAAGATATAAAGGAATATGAGCAATCTGTGAGGAAAACTTTCATTCCAACGGTTCTTGTGCGTGTGAAGGTACCTGTTGAAGGAAGCAGGAGCCAATCTCACAGAGATGAGGGTTTTCAGCGTTGTATTTCTTTTCTAGGTCCTTGAGAAACTTTCTCTGGAACCTATAGATGTCCTCAATGTTGCTGAAGATTGTTTTTAGCTGTGCATCAGTAAACATGCCAGGGTGCTTTCTACACTGACGGATATATCCCTACAACAACAAATAATTTTGGATTGAAACAACTAATTTAACACCGTTTCATTTAGACATGTTTGCATTCCTTTGGAAAGTTTTCCTTCACTGAAAAATATTTTTATGCACTTGACCACCAGAGGTCATCAATGAGACTGTTGGATAAACACAATCTGACTGATAAATATTTACCACTTCTTAACTCATTTTTTGATAAGATTTCCAAAGGTTAAGATGCTTTTCACACAAACTTGCTGTATAGTAAAATACAACTATTTATTTCCATTGGACTTAACTTGTGAAAAAATTATTCAAAGTGGTGAAGTCCTATGACCACATGTTAGCATACTGCTGTTTTGGATATTCACCACTGCATGAATATCTAAAACAGTATTTAGTTTCAAATACCTAAAATAATGACAATAATCATCATCATCACTATCATAATACTCAGCACAGAGTATATAAACTACCATTCAAACGTTTTTGAGAGAAGTCTATGCTCGGCAAGACTGCATTTGATCAATATACAGTAAAAACAGTAATATTGTGAAATAATATAAAAAATTAAAATAAATTTTTTAAATTTATATTTAAAATGTTATTTATTCCTGTGATGACAAAGCTGAATTTTCAGCATCATTACTCCAGTCTTCAGTGTCACATGATCCTTCAGAAATCATTCTAATATGCTGATTTGCTGCTCAGTAAACACTTCTTATTATCAATGTTGAAAACAGTTGTGCTGTTTAATATTTTTGTGGAAAGAATGATGCATTATTTTCTCTGATGAATAGAAAGTTAAAAAAATCACAACATGTATTTGCAATAGAAACCTTTTGTAACTTAAAAATAAAAATCTGACTCAAACTTTTGAACAGTAGTGTGCAGTGTAGTATGCTAGTATTCCTGTATGCCACTAGGGTGAACTACTCCGAGCACTACAACTATTATCTGATAGATAATATTGTTATCTTGAAAGAAGGCAAATGTGTTTAAATTTTGATCTCATATTTAAAATGACAGGCGTAGGAGATTGATTACCACTCAGGATAAATTGAAGATAAGGGTTCCTTTTATGATAGATAACATACACAGACCACAAAACAAACCGATTAAACTAAAGCAGAAGGTAAACATGAAACAGCTGGGATGGAGGCTCACCTCACAGATATCTTTGAGATGTTTGATGTAAACGCGCTCTGTGTCCATGATCTCTTTGACCACATTGGCTCTCATCTGCTGTCTGTGCTGCGAGTTTTGTTTATGTGCATCTGATGGGACGGATTCCTCTGCATCCGGTGCGATTTCCACACCATCACTGCTGGAATCCTCCTGATTCACCCGAACCTTGACAACAACATATCATTATGATTAATTCCAGAGGATCAAACTGAGGGGAACCATGATTAGGCACAATTTTAAGACAACAATCAATTGTGATTGAGACAACTGGTTAATCCACTTCTACAGGAAGTCTTGATCAAATCACCTAAAGGCTCTTTGTGTCCGACTGACTCATCTTGTTGGATCTTAAAAGAGCCATACATAGATTGACAATGAGATGCATTAATCTATAGCACAGAACTATTAAAAACACCATTCCGTACACCCGCGTTCCTTCCAAACCGGTCAATCAGCACATGCAACCGCGATGACACATCTAGCATTTCCTCTTGGGTCACCCATAGCAATCACACAGAATGTGTTACTATGTTTAAGCGTTACTTTCAAGCTGTGTGGCTTTTGTTTCACATTCATTACTCAGAGAGGGTTATAGTGCAACTCACTCGCACAAAGCTGGAGGGAAACCAGGCCTCACGGTCGCCCACCGCCCCCCACCACCAGTCCTGCTCCTGAACATCCAGAACCCGAATCACATCCCCGGCTTTGAAGGCCAGCTCTTGCTCTTCCATTGTGACATGGTCCCACAGAGCCTCTGCATACACGGCATGACCCAACTGTATGTACTGGAGAAAGAGAGAGATTATAGTCTTACAGTATAGGCTAAACATATTGAGGCTAAAGGTCAGATTAGACGACACAATAAGAACAGTACGGAATAACATAATGCACAAGAAGTGTGACGATCCCATACAAGTACATATGCAATATGTAACAACTTTGCATGATTGAACAAATAAGATAAACACCGAATTATGACCTGTACTGTATAGCACAGCCTAGAAGTGCCAACAACAGTAAAAAAAAACAAACATAGTAAAAACGTGTAAATGTGCTGAAAGTAGATCTCATATAACATTAAAGGGTCACAACTAACATTAAAGGTGTGTTACTTTAAAATTTTAACCCCTACAGTTAAGTTTACAAAATGAATAGTATATTTGACAAATATGTTTACAATAATGTTCAAGTGATGAATTAGTCATTTCTAAAAAAAAAAAAAAAAAAGCTATAAATATCCAATAAATTTTTTAAAAATACAATCAGTCTACAAAAATGAAAATATATAAAATGTATATATTTATATAAATGATATATTATTTATAAACACACATTTGTACTTGTACTTATAATTATTAAATTTAAACTGTACATGTAATATATTATAATATATAATAAATTACAATAATTAATAATTATTGCTAAATAATAATAATAATATAATATTATTATAATGATATAATTAATTAATCATTATTATTATTATAATATTAAAAATTAAAATGATGATACCTGATTGAGAGTGAAAAGGTCGACTTCTGGTTGGAGATATGGTGTTCCTTCAGTCAGTTCTTCAAAGCTGCCGTCCTCCTCACTCACACTGTCATCGAGCATTGGATCAGAGCTCCCATCTATAATATGACCACATTGAATGAGGTTAGAAATTATGGTATAAGAATCAGTATTCATCAAAACAATCTCACCATTGAGGCTCTTCTGTTTGTAGGTCAAGTGCACACACTCAGGCATATTAACAGAAACACACTCACCGCTGAGCACTCTGCGCCCTTTGCGCCGCCCCATCCTATCCAGACCGATAGGTGTGCTTTGGGAGAAGACGCAGGGTCTCACGCGGGCAGACACGGCCCGGTATGGAGGCACTCTGTGAGAGGGAACTGGAGGACGAGATACCGGCTGAAACAAAGGATGACAGATTAGACTTTAATCGGCAGCCTTAAAAGGAGCCCACTGTCCAGCAGGACTTATGTTCAGAGTTCAGTGACTGGACAATGACCTATGACTAGATAATAAACAATGCAATTTTAGCTCATCCGTTCGGCCAAGTACATAACATTACAAACATAACTTTGAATTTCATGCTGGACAATAAAACTTTTAACTTCACTCTCTTAACCCTGAAGTTATTTAATAATGTATTTTTAACAGTGTAATTTTTTTTAAACAAAAATTAGTTTGAGATCAAACAATAATTTGTCTCCTGCAGTACTGCTGTGGACCCCTGTTGAAGACCACTGTATTACAGTAATGAGAATCAGATTTAATAATAAGATAAAAAAAGATCCTAAAAACAGGCTTAATTTTCTCATATATTATTTACAAGTTTTGTGAGATTCACCATTTAACAGGTCACTGAAATTATGCATCAAGGAAATGATTGTCTGATGCAGCGTTTCTACTAAATCATTGTTGTTGCTAAAGAAGAAAAGTAGTTACATTCAGGGTTTAAGAAGTTCTTTCAAGCTACCTGAACTATGACATTATAAACCCATAATGCTACACCCCAAGGAAGAGACCTACTGGGACCACATTAGTGTTTAGATCGCCAAACATCTGTACGTTATTAAGGATTGAGCTTCTGAGAAACTTCTGCAGGAACCATGTCAATTATTTTCATCAGCCAACATTGCTGAACACTCTTCGAAATGCACTCACTATAGCTAGACTAGTCATAGTACTTAAGTTATTTTGATAAGAAAGCATCTGCTCACAAAATAAATGCCAATGTAAGCAGATTTCAAAGTCCACAAGGCCTATCTGAGCAATGGCATGAACAAATGCTTCTGACACATAAATAGCTGTTGTACTCAAAGGGACATGGGTCTGAATCAGGCCTGTATCATGGATCAATCCATTCATTCTGCTGTAAGTGTTTTTTTAAGACCTTACATTAAGGGTCCCAACTAGAGTCTTTAGCCAATCAGAAATGCCAGCCTCATTCCATACATTTTGGCAAACCTGTTCTAAAACACTTGATTTGATCTGATTTGGCTAATTGTGTAGAAATTTAACAACAAAACTAAATTTGGAGAAATGGCCTTACAGAAGGCAAGCTCTCAGTGTCGTCCTTCTGCTCAGCAGTTGGGGATGAAAACAGATCCACTCCTCCAATAACAGAGATGGGACGTCTCTTTCTGCTCTCTGTTTGAGTGCACACATGACCATTCTTAGGTCTGTTACTCTCTGTGTAGCTGCCATTGGTATTGTAGTCCTTCTGGGAAGTGTAGTCCATAGTCTCAGACTCCCTGTCCTCCTCTGGGATGCAGTACTTTGAGCTGGCCAGCTGGCCATAGTCAGACACTGGCCGGGGTCTGGAGCGACCTGCCCTTTTCCTGGCCACTACAGAAGCAGGAGAGTCACTGGCAAAGGGTGGAGAGATTGGTGTTGTTGGAGTTACCAGGGAGGATTCTGAGGAACAGGTGTTTGTGACAGGTGAAGCAGCAGCGGTTGAGATCTCATCACTTTTGAGAAACGCTTTTGTGATATCAGATGAAGCCTAGAGGAGAAGACAAATATCATCAGTTAGTTTAAAACTAATACATTTTTATTGCAGGCATATTTAATTATTTTGTTATTAGTTTTTAACATTTAGTTTCAATTTCTAGCATATTTTACATGAATCAGAAAAATATGCTTCTGTTTTTCATTTAATGTTAAGCTAAATGTGTCCTTACAAAAAAAAAAAAAAAGCAATTTACTATGTATTCGTTTTTACATTTCTAATAATAGCTGAAAATTGTTTCACAATAAAATGTAACAATAAGAATGATAACACTTTTGTTGGAAAATTACTGAATATGGTGCAAAACATTACTTATTTTGACTAATGGGGCAAGTAATAGCGAGAGCATAAATTCAGAAAACCAGTTTTCTTTAGTAATAAATAAAACTGATTTTTAAAACCGTTGTATTTGGCAAAAAATAAATAAGCAGATTGAATGGCGGTCTATCTGTACAACAAGGCAATCACATTTTAGATTTCTATTCTCTGCTGATTGCTGTCTGCACTAATCCACTGTGTAAAAAATACAGAAATAACAGATATCTTACCTCAAGATCATCAGTCTCTCTCTCTTCAGTCCATAGACACTGAAAAGGCACACAATAAATAAGCACCATGTTTAAGAAGGTACACAACACGTATATGCAAACACATCCATGCACACACGCACAGACACAAATAGACAAGCAAAACAAAGTTTGACTGGGCTCGCTGTAGCTTGTCTACTTCTTTCTGTTATATTCCCCTGACCTATTGGAGTCCATTTGCACTTGGTTTGATTACTGAACTTCGAACCTTGGGTTGTTCATCTGGGGAGGAGACACTGTCTTTGCTGATACGTGTCCAGCCTCAGGTCCAGAAGCTGTGTTTAGGCAATCCCGCTAATCATAAACGTCAGCTAATCATTAACTCTACCTGCTGTGTGCTTCTTAGCAGCCTATATGACACTGTCGCGATGTACCACTCCAGAGGAAGAGTTGTGAATGTTATTAATCCAATAAAACATACAGCTGTTGGCAGGGGTGATCAACAAATCAAGCCAGAGCAATGAAATGAATCGGTTTGTCCTGATCGACTACAAAATGATATCAGATCGAGGCTGTGGTTGCATCATCAGATACAAGGGTCACCCCTATGAGGAACATATGACGCAAAGCATGAAAGTTCATGCTTCAACAAAAATCTGTCTACTGTAATTTATGACTTTATGTGTTAAGGTCAAGGTCATCTAATGAACTGGTCTGTTCCAATTATTAAGTGTTTAGAATCAGTGGTGGATGAAGTACCTGAAAGCTACACTTAAGTGTAAGTACAGCTATCTTACCAAAAAATTAATTTGGTAGAAGTTAAAGTCACCGTTTATATTACTTGAGTAAAAGTTTTAAAGTGATATTTATTGTACCCAAGTATGAAAAGTATTTATTTTTGAATATTAAACATACTTAAGTATTGAAAGTAAAAGTACAAGTAAATGCAAAATGGAAAAGGAGCAAATAAATATGAAAAAATGGTTTATACACAGTTTGAGCAGCAAGATGTGTTCAGTTTTAACTCTTACTTCCATTTTGTATCTTTGGGTAAGCATAAGAGTCACTTCATCTGGTACTTAAGTCTCTTTCATTCCAACATAAGAAAACATTTCTGGAATCTACATCTGAAGTGGCATTTAGATGTATTTACACAGATTAATGCAGCTCAGAGGGGACATGGATGCATTTAACCTGCAGTTACAAATGCATAAATAATGCTTTATTTTAAACATTAAACGCTGAATAATGTTACAGATATTTGAAATTATTTAAAACATGAAAAAAGTTGAAATGTGAAATTAAAAACAGATTCATTCAAATGGCTGATTCATTCAGGAACCAAGCATTTGATTGTGTTAATGAGTGAGTGATTGAATCATTAATTCAACCGAATCATTCAAACAGTAGATTCAGCCAATAAGGAAACACCGTCCTGTTTGTTGCTCAGAGACGCAAAACAGTGCTGTGATCTTTGTTTGTAACTATTTTCATTGGCAAAATTGAGCAAAAAAAGGCAATACTGTGTCTAAAATGTAAGTCACTTAATGCTAATATTACATTTGTTATCATTTGACAATGATGAACATTTGTTATCTGCAGAAAAAAACGGCACTCTTCGTGTGATATAGATTAACTATATTAAATTATATAAGTATAAAGGACATAGAGGCGTTTTTGCAGCCTACAATTTAAAATGCCTTGAATTTTAAAGGTGACCTATTATGCAAAAATCACTTTTATTAGGTGTTTGAACAGTTATGTGGCCGCAGTGTGTGAAAACAGCCAGCCTATAAAGGTAAAAATCCAACCACTCGTTTTTTTATAATCCTAATAAATCATAAACTGTCTCTCCAAATGAGCGATTCCAGATTTCTCCCTATATACACGTCATACTAGGGAAAGTCCCGCCCATTTGTGACGCTCTCTGCCCTATTAGCATAGACCCCACCCTGAGTGAGATGTAGCAGTTCACCATTACTGTTTTCTTGCTGTAGCTGCTGGAGATACAATGTCAGCCCAATGCTTTGTGTGTGAACGTCAGCTCCAGACAAAGTAAGCATCACGCATCATATTTTGTTTTCCAAGAGAGCTTTTGGCTCTCTGTAAGGCCAATGTTGCTAAAACTACCATTGTTTCTGCCTGTTTTCACTGATGCTGCCTTCACGTGTTACCAGATTTATCTTAAATAGGAATGTGGTAGTTAAATAATGCATATGCAAGCAATGTGAAGTCGACCGCTTGAATTTGTAGAGTTCATAATATGATAGCACGCGAAGGCACCATGAGTCCAGCTATGTCATTATTTTTAACGCGCCATGCTCCCGTCTGTGTAACTCAAATGGGCATTTACTATGCACAGTACTCTCAGATTGCGTGATGTTTTCCTGTTTTTTTGTTGCTGCTCTTGAAGCTCCGCCCTCTTCTGAAAATGGAGGCGGGAGCACCAGCTCATTTGCATGTAAAGGGACAAACACAAAAACAGCGCATTTAGGCTCATACCCTAAAAGTGGCCATTTCAACAAGCTATACAAAAATTATCTGTGGGGTATTTTGAGCTAAAACTTCACATACACACTCTAGCGACATCAGAGACTTATTATGCATCTTGTAAAAGGGGCATAACAGGTCACTTTTAAATAGACTAAATCACATGCTGTATACGTGTACATGTGCGTTTTTGTGATATACTCTATAATGTCAGATCGCACATCATTAAAACAACATGCCATATTATCGCAGACTGTATGTCGCACACCCCAGCCTGAAATTGAGTGGAAAATGAAATCATCCGTGCTTGTGCGAGCACTTGTTTTCACATGAGTAAAGGTGTTTTTTTAGGAGTCTAACTTACTAACGCCAGACCACTGATTCGTCAAACCTGCTTTCTTGCAGTCTGTGTTCTTCTGACTTTAGTTTGTAGTAAGTAACGAATATGCTTCGGGGAAATGTATCGAAGTAAAAGTATACATTTTAATTAGGAAATGTAAAAGTGAAAGTTGACAGAAATATAAAAACTCAAGCAAAGTACAGATTCTCCCAAAAAATACTTGGTACCACTGTTAGAATAAGAGTGTCCTCTTTGACTTTATGGCAATCATTGATATGACATCTACAATCTGACATGTGTCTTCAGAGATTTCACATTTGGTCGGAAAGAAAAGTGCTTGTCCAGTCTTGCTGCTTATTATCAGTCAGACTCATTCAATCAACAACAGTTAATCAATATCGTCTGGAAAAGGACAAACAAGTTACATATGAAAGTATAGAGCAAATCTTGCCAAGCAAATGTAAACACAATTTGTAACATAAGCAGCACACAATACAATTTGTTACAAATCAGTTTTGCTGTAGGCAAGTAATGTCCGACTCTGAAACACATTTTGGGCCACAAACTGCATGTCTTAAAGTAATGTTCTGGGTTCAACACAACATGAGAATTCACAGCATAATGTCCCACAGAAAACTGTAAAAATATGAATAAATAAATAAAGTTATTTAATTGTACTATAAAGCTGTCTAAACCATCTGGGTCTACCATTCTAGAAAGATAAACTTCTCCATTGAAGATCTCTATGTGAAATTAACTGGGTTTTACAATTTTACCTGGTCCTGACAAAAGTGGAAATAATAGACTATTTTACAAAGAAAAGGCTGGTAAGTAATTATATCACAATAGTTTAATCCAAGCTAAACATTTTTAGCTTTTACATTAACTTTAAGAGTTTGATTCAAGTCTAAAGCAATAATTTGTCTTCCTAAAATGTAATGTAAACACTTTTGTCTGACAGAAATTGTACCAATTGTAGCTTGGTTTCATACAGCATGTAGAAACCTAACCCTGACTACAATTACCCCTGACGATTTGACACACAATGTGTATTTAATCATTCAAATATTTAGTTGCGCATTGTGTCTTCTTGGACAAAGCATGATTACGCAAAAATTCATTGTATTTTGATTACAACTGTGAATGTAAATGTACTTGCTGTGCTTTTGTATATTGAGAACCATTGTTTTTTGTGGTAACTGACATTAAGCCACAAATGTGGTCTCTAGATCTAAACTTGTATTGAAGAAGAAGGCCATAACAGTTTAAATGGGACAATATGGACTCATTAGGATTGTCTTACCTCCAAGTTAACGTTACTGCCATTGACTGTCTGCTTTTGACTGGGGCTTGAGCACTGCTTGGGCATTTGAAAGTAGTGGTTATTTATTCCATTTTGATGGCACTCCATAGGTTCACAGTATTTTTCCAGTGGAGAGACTGGAACATCTAAACACAAATCTGTCGAGGACACAGCCACCGGAACATAGTCACTTATTAAGGCTGTTGTTTTGCTAGGAGGCTCCAAAGAGTCATTTAGAATGGAACTAAAGACAGCGGGACAGGAGGGCGCGGGGTGTAAATTTGGGATGTGTTGGTGAGTGTTGGCCTGCTGGGCCTTGCTGGGTGTGGGTGAAGGCCTCCGCTGGCGCCCACTTAATGGTACACATGGGGTTCTGCGGGAGTAGTCATCATGTAGCTGACTGATAGGTAACAGAGGTATTCTGGGGGCGGGGCCTGGCGTGTTTTTACGCTTGACTGACAGGTCAGTTAAACTACCGACAAGTTTTTGCAGATGTCCACGTGTCCTCATGGGGCTTTGACGTCTACCTGAGTCATGTTCCTGCAAGTCAACCGATGAAGAACTGATGGTCCTCTGAAGAATTATAGTACTGGGGCATTCTGGGTTCTGTGGCTCAGCTGAGGTGACATTGCGTCTAAAATTACCCTTGAAGACATGGAGATTATCTGCACTCTTGCTTAGTCTTTTGAGAACATTGACATTTTCTTGAGTCTCAAGGTTCTTGCAAGGTATGATGGACTCCACAGTGTTGCTGGGGTCAGGCTCACTGGTAGTCGGGCTCTCTGTCTTAGCTATGTCAAGCAATGAGATCCGTCCTGTCCCATAAGCCTTGCGGATACTCTGAGAGAAATGGGAATTCCTCTTAAACCCACACGCTTCCTCCTCACAGTCATCTTCATCCGAAACCGAAGATGTCTTTCCAGTTCGAGCCGTCCCATTTGACACTTTGTCAGTTTCCTGGATTTGATTGGTTGCAACCTCTCGTTTGGTTACTAAAAAACTACCGCCATGCTCAATCATCGAGGACAGATTTCTCTCCTGACCGGCTGCCATCGCATTGCTGCGGTTCTGGATTCCTTGGAGCACAGAAGTCCGCAGTTTTTTGAAAGAACCCATGACACGGAAACTAGCCAATCCAGACCAAGCCTGTGGCGTGACTGGTGGTCCTCTGAGCGGGGCATTGTCCCCACATTTTGTCTGGGTGGGAAACAGACGCACATCCCTGGAGGGATACAGCTTGGCTTGGCCATTGGCAATCACGGGAACAGTCTGGGCCTGAGAATTCAGTCTGTTAAGCCGGTTCTCCTCAAAGCAAGGCTCAGACAGGACTGGTTGCATATGGACTGTACAACTAGACCTCAGACTTGGATTCATCAGCTGCTCATCTGTGAAAGGGTCACTCTGCAGGTCACTGTTGTGAGAGGAGCCCTGTGGGTCCGACGAAGGTGCCTGCAGAACCAGATTGAAGAAAGTTTAATCTCGTTGAACAAGCTGACAAATCTGCATCAGGTCTTGGAACAAAGAACACAAACCATGTGACGTGGAGTGAGACAATCAATGAATGTTTTGTCTGAGAAAGATTTTAACTTTATACTTCAATGAAACAATACAACACCAGTATGATAACCATAACCTCGATAAGTCACAAGAACTTTCAACTATATCCTTATATTACCTGTTTGATTACTTGACCTGTGCAATTATAAAACTCAGCAAAGGTGAAGCAATTCAAAGTGTTCTTATCCACCCACAAGTGTAAATTAAGCTTCAACGTTCCTCCTATGGATGAATAATGCCTTTATCTGGTAAATTGGAGGGTGTCTGTTAGTCGCATGAGAGCTTTGCACTAAGTGCTGTAAAATTTCCTGTAAAAGATTTAAGCTATGCCTTTTTTCCTAAGAAAGAGAGGCCCCTCTACCAGGGCGTGGAACGTTGTTGCCTGGTGCGATGTTCGTTATGATGAAAGGCTTTTGTGAGCATGACTAAGCAATAAAAACCTCTAATCCATTGTGATTAATGCAATAAATTGCCCAATGTTTTCTAGCTATATTCTGAGTGAGGAGAGAGGGGTCCACTTTAGGAAGTTGAGCTGCTTTAACCCATTTTTTTTGCCAAGTCAGAATAAACAGAGCATTTAATCAGATTGTTTAATCACAAATAAAATCACATAAATTTTAAATATCAATATTTGTTTATAAAAGCCCACAAATTAAAATGACACATCAATTGTCAGTTCCTGAGGAAACTGTGGAAAATTTAATTAAATATATATTTACAGTGTAGATTAAATGTGATCCAGTCTTACCTCACTGAGATGATTCTCAAATCTCCAAACTATTTCATGTAGTATCAAAGAATTGGACCTTTGACATTATGACCACTTCATTGTTCAACCACTTCAAGTTCACAGTTCATCACATTAACTATGGAAATATTTCTTGTTTAACCATCAGAATTGCTTTTTAGTCTTCATTTGATCTTTGTTCAATCATTTAAAACGTTTTTTTTTTTTTTTTACACGTATTGACTGAAATGTGTGACACTATTTCCTTTTGTAGAGCTGCTTTACAGCTGAAATTGAATGTTGTAAAATTTATTATTTTACAACATTAACACTTTTTTCGGTTTATTAATGTGAGGCTGCTTTGAACTATTTGTATTGCAAAAAGCGCTATATAAATAAATGCGACTTAGTAACTCTTTTCAGTGCAATTACAATGAATGGGGACTGAAGATTTTAAAAGGCTTCAAAAAGGTTGCAAAAGTATCATAAAAGTAGTTCATATTACTTGTCCACCATATTACAGGTTCCTCAAGTCATTCAATGGCTTTCTGTAAGCAACAGGCTTAAAGTTAGTCAGTGATAATTTTCACCTTTAGAGGGCTGTGAACCATTGCGACTGGATTGTTGAATCAGTAAGTTGAACTCGAGAATGGGATCAGTCCGGTTTGTGAACAATTCATTCAGACAAGTTTTGTGAATTGAATCAACTGCGATTCATTAAAAAGATCCGACTCAAAAGAATGATTTGTTCAAAGTTTCGCTGCTTCTCTCATGAACGCTCATGAACTTACCAAAGAGAGCTATAGGGCAGATGTCAGTCTTTTCATTTCTGCCTGTTTTTCACACAAAAGTTATTGTATTATTTAAGAAGACTTGTATAGCGCAAAAGTCATGTGAACCACTTTTATGATATGTTTATAGTGGTGTTTTTTGTCATTTTGGAGCCAGTTCTCATTCACCTTTATTACATATAAAAAACAGCAGCCAGAATATTTCAAAAAAATTAACTTTTTTCCACAGAAGGAAGTCAGTGAAACGACATGTGGGCAAGTAAATAATGAAATTGTGTGTGTGTGTGTGTGTGAGAGAGAACTTGTCCCTTTTAGCTATAGGCTGCATAGAATTCAAATAATTGTTTATGGCATAATATGACTTTCAAACATAAGCACATTCAAAACAAATGCTTTCTACTGACAAAACAACATTAAACACATCAATGCATTTGTGCGCTATCAGGGAGTAAGATCGTTGAGAAGAGGGTAGTGAGATTTAGCCTTAATTTATGGCAGCCATAGATTAGGAGGCACCCAGTGAGGCATTAAAGTTCCTTGTGCGGGTCTTGTAATAACACAGACGCTCTCATTATGTGTGGAGGAGTGCATTCCAGTGCCTGTGTGTCAATGTTTTACAGCAAGGCAATTGTTTAGAGAAGCGAAAGTGCTGGGCATAGTACTTTTAACCAGCTGTTACCATGAATTAGAAATTATGATTGCACTGACATTCTTTTTCTAGCATGTTTAATTTATCTGTCATAAATTATGATGCCAACAGCAGCACATGGCTTGCATATGACAAACATGTGGCAGACTTTAGACATTATATTAAAGCATGAGAAATGAGTCACTTACAAATCTAAATGTAATCTAATTTTTAAAAATCTTGAATGCATTTACAATAGAGCTTCTCACAGTGGATTTCAAGCACCCCCACTGTCAAAGACAATGTTAGAAGGCCCCCCACGTAGGCTAAGATACTTTAATTCTGGTGCTTTAGCTGTAATGATGAGAAAGCTGCTTGTTTTCAAACGATTAACATAATTAACCTTGATTACTTCCGTAGTTCCTGAAGTCTCACGAATTGTATGTTCCCACACTTTCTTATATATGAATTTTTCTAGTTGTTAGTGGATTATTGGATAAGGATTTTAATAATTAACTATAATATAATTATAATTAATATTTGATATATTAAGTTCTCATTTGATAAAATATTTTAGAGATTATATAAATAGAAAAACTTATATTATTGACATTTTAATGACTTTTACATGGCTTTTTCTTTTCACCATCATTATTTTGCCAAGCCTTGAAATCAATCTTATAAAATTAGCTCTGAACAAATATTAAAATAAAAGATCTTGCATGGTATACATTAAAATTTTCACTCTTTAATATATATATATATATATATATATATATATAAATAGTCACTTTACAGCACACTTGGCGGTTTCTGCTAAAATAAATAATAATACTGAAGTTTTCTGGTCTTTACTGGTCTCCTAGTCTGGTCAAGTTGGTTTTAGAGAGGTTTAAAGTAGCTGACCCACCAGTTAACATCAGCTTGGCCAGACCGTGAGACCAGCTAAACCAGTTAAGAACATCAAACCATTGTAGCCTGGTTTAAGTCGTTGTTGTTGTGTTTTCAGCTGAGTTTTTGAGTCCACCTAGTGGGCCTCGGCCCCCTGGTTAAGAAGCAGAGATTTGTAAAACACTGAGTGAAATGTTTGTTTCTTAACATCCTGAAAAATCCCATTTGGTTCCACCACAAAGAAAAACATTTCAAGCAGGGCAGATCAAGACAAATATTTCAGCTTTAAAAGGCACAATATCTAAGATTTTTTTATTAAAATATCCAAAAACCACTAGAAGAGTTTTATATGTTTTGCTGACTTATGTACTTACATGATCCCAAATGTTTTGAAGAATGTTTAAAGGGGTCATATGATGCGATTTCAATGTTTCCTTTCTCTTTGGAGTGTTACAAGCTCACCGGCCTCAGCGCACGCTAAGCCGGGGTTTCCCCTCACGCTGGGCTGCTGTGTTGCTCGTTGTGAAAGCGAAACTACTTTGTCTGATCTTCCAAAAGAGGACACGACTACAAATCAGTGGTTAAGTTGTATTTACCACACTGTTCCAGAACAGTTTAACCCAAATATCCAGATGTGTGCAGCACATTTTATGGAGGACTGTTTACTGATCCTGGGAGAGTAACGTTAGACTA